TTTCTCTAGGAAATGGGAATTGGGGCAGTCACTCTGCATCCCTGTAGCCTTCCTGCCTTGCTTGTTGGGGTCCTGCGTGTAGATGAAAGCTGGGTCCTGGCCAGAGAGGCCTGGATACTATTCTCTGACACCTCCAGTCAGCCCCAGAGTTAGCTGCTGCCTCATTGGGCTTCTTTTGTCTGGTCAAGGCCATACTCGGAGGCATCCCTTTCAGCCTTCAATACAGCACACTCCTCTGCCCCGGAAGAAGGGAGCGGGTTTGTACTGTGACTCCTGGGTCAAATTACTCTTTGACATAAAGGCTGCTGAAGTCTCTTAAATGGTTTTTGATAGGCTCTGGGCACCTTGAAAATATATGCACAAATCTACTGGGGTTGTCTTGCCCTTTCTCTTACTCCTACAGGCTGGGCCTGCACTGCTTGCTGGGCAGCCCCTAGGCTGGTGTCTCGGGGTTGGCTGGACCCCTAACCCACACAGCCTCATGATTGCTCTTCTCAGCTAAGAGCCCTTCAGAATCTCCTCACTGCCAGCAGAACAAAGGCCTTACTTCTCCAGCTATTTTCCTTTCATAAGGGTCCTGGTCCGGGAACCGTAACCTTCTACCCTTGTCCACTCAAGTACCTTCTCCTCCAAAGCTGGTCTAGATTCTCAGCCAGGGCAAAGCCCAGTACTCACACACTGCCCTGCATTTGTGCTGGCTTAGAAAGCTCAGCACTCAGTCCCTCATGCTCACCTGCGCTTCCTGTATGTGTTGCTTCAGTTCCTGTGCGGGACCTGGGCCCAGAGAAACAGGAGCCAAAGTGCATGCATACAGCCCTGCTCCGTGTGTCTGCTCGGCCACACCCGTTTCTTCAACGAGTCCTCACTAACCACCTTCTTTGCCCCCTGCCCAGGCTGCTCTTCATTTCCCTCTCCCAAGGCGCCCAGGGCAAAGCTATTACCCGATCAGATGGTCAGAATGAAAAATTGAATTTCCACTTATCTGTCTTGCTCATGCATTCCATACGGATGAGTGGGGCTTGGTGTTCTGGGCTTGGTGGTGCCCTGTAGCATGCTCCCACCCCTCTCCAAGAGAATATGGCAGGCATGAGCCCGTATAGGTTGAGGGCTCTGAGCCTGGCTGCTGCTCAGAAATTGCTCATAAGCACAAGAACAAACAATCCTAAAAAGGACTTGGCTAGCTGACTCCTCCTGGGAGGAGGGAGTGCTGGGAGACCCTCCCTCGAGAGGGCAGCTACCAACACTGGGCCCATCAATGATTCAGTAAGCATTAGGCTTCTTAGGTTCCTGCCTGTCTGGGCTGTCTATGGACTCACTCTTATAAGATATCTAACCACCCAAAGTATATGTGTCTCCAGAAGGTTAAAGACCTTATACAAGTGAATCCCCCAAATTCTGCACCCACAAATGCACCTCATCCAATTCTGTGCTTTTGTAACTCTCTTCCACCTTAAGCTCCTGGTGATGTCTGGACCATCTGTCCTGTTCACACCACTACCATGATGTTCCACTGCAGGCACAACAGCACAATGCCACCACCACTGAGCCCTGACCACCGATACCATTGTGCGAACCACTGTAGCAATGATCCGCTAGGACACAGCCCACCTGACAGCTGGCTCCTCTTGCTCCCTTCTTTCTCTCTCTGTCACCTGGTCCTAGGAGGTAGCCCCCTTCCATTTCCTCTCCTCCTGGATCTGATGTGGCCCCCTGCATGAGCCACGCTGCATTCACATCACCCTGTATCCTAACCTGTGGAGGAGGATGCCTGGCTTTCCCGCCCCTGCCCTACCTCTGGGGCTGGGCAGCACCACTTAGCCCCATAAGCTTGGTGGAGCCTGTGGCCTGTCGTCAGATGCTGGGAGTAGGATTAACAGGAGAAAGTGGCCCTTGGTTTTCTTGGCTCCTCCCTGATTTCCCAACGTGCAGTTTCCTAGAGAGCTAAGGTGACAGTGGGGATGTGGTGGTGATGCTGATTCACCATTAGGGGGATGAGACCTCCATGCAGTGGGGCTTGCTACAATGCTGAACGGTGGATGTGTACTTTGCATGTCTATCTCCCTGCGCAAGCACAAGAAGCCTGAGATAAGTATAATTAATTTCATATTATAGATTAGAAAGCTGAGGCTCAGAGACATGAGGAATTTGCTCAAGGCCACACAGCTAGGATGAGCCAATATGTGAACACAGGCAGGCCAAATCTGTGCCGGCCCCTTACTACGCTGTCTCCCTATGGGGTCATTATGACTTCTCCGAATGAGAATATCCCCCTGCTTTGCCCACCTCATCTGCTCTGCCCCTGGGTCAGGACTCGGGCTTTTGCTGAGTTTTGCTCCAAATTTCTTCAGGTGTGGGAGAAGCCTGATTTTCTTCTTCACCACAGCTTATCAAGCTGTCAAATGCCTCAGCCCCAAGCTTACCACTTTCTACTCTCGTCAACAGTCCCAGAGCCAAGAAAACAGTAAAAGATGCCCTCAGTCCAGGTGGGGGAGGTGACAGAGTGTCCCTGGGACAGCTAGATCTAATCCCTGGACAGCTCTGGTCCTCCCTTTCTGGAGTTGTGCTTTGAATATACCCATGAACGAGACACAGGCTCCCAGCTAATGAATTCCCAGGACTTGCCCACGCCCTACAACTGGAGCCTGGTAACCACTACCCAAGTTCAAGCAGTCCTGAGCCTGATCAACACATCCTCGAGGCCCTTCTCTATACAGACAATCATCCTCCAGTGTTAACCCCTGACTTCATGAGCAGCACAGTGCCACTTCCTGTCCTTGGAGGGTCCTCCTATTCTTCATCACTCTGCAATTCATATGGTGTTACAATCTTAAAGATACTCCCTTCTCTGGTGGTGAAACTATGATAGTAGTTACCCCTCTATTGACTTGTTTTGATCTTCTCATTAATAGTGAGGAGAGTTGTTATTAGGCATCATCAAGTCCGTTCCAACCCACCGCAACCTCTTGTACAACAACCTGCAACACTGTGTTAGCCTCACAACCTCTGCCATGCTATATAGTTCACAGTCTGCAGCCACTGTGTCAACCTGTCTCATTGAGGGTCTTATTATTTTTTTTTCCCCCGACCCTCTACTTCAGCAAGAATGATGCCTTTCTTCAGGGGTCCTTGATAATATATCCAAAGGATGTAAGATGAAGTTTTGCTACCTTGGCTTCTAAGGAGGATCATGGTAAGACCAGTTTATTTGATTTCTGCCAGTCCACTATCTAGTCAATACTCACTGCTGACACCCTAACTCAGAGGCATCAGTGGACTTTCAGTCTTCTTTAGTCATTGTTCAGCTTTCACGTGCATATGAAACAGCAGAAAACACTTTAGCTTCGGTCAGGAGCACCTTAGCCCTCAAAGTGCTATCTTGCTAACACTTTTTAAAAGAGGTCTTTTTCAGTATGTTTGCCCAATGCAAAACGACACTGGATTTCACGACTGCTGTTATATGGTCGTTGATTGTGGATCATCCTTGACAACTTTAGTATTTTCTGCTTACACGATGTTGCCTACTGGATTGATTGTGAGTGTTTCCATTTTCTTTATGTTGAAAATATAATCCATACTAAGGCTTTGATCTTCATAATTAATCACTTCAGGCCCTCTTTGCTTTCAGCAAGCCAGGCTGTGCCATCAGCATATAGCAGTTTGTTTATGGATCTTCCTTCAATCCTGATCATGGATTCTTCATGTAATCCAGTTTCTTGGATTATTTGCTCAATATCCAGATTGAATAAGTATGGTAAAAGGATACAACTTGCACACACTTTCCTAATTTTAAACCACACGATATTCCTCTGTTGTCTTTGAATGACCGCCTCTTGGTCTATGTACAGGTTCTGCATGAGCACAAAAAAGTGTTCTAGAAATTCGATTCCTAACAATGTTATTTATTATTTATGATCCATACAGTCAAATGCTTATGTATAGTCAAAAGTCATCGGTAAACATCTTTTTGGCATTCTTTTTCAATCAAAATCTATCTGACATCAGTAATGATATCTCTCATTCTATGTCCTCTGAATCGAGCTCAAATTCTGGTAGTTTTTCAGTCGGTGAATTGCTGCAATTATCTTTTAACTTGCAAAATACTCCTTCTTTGTGATAGTAATGATATGATAATTTCTGTATTCTGTTGGGTTACCTTTTTTTGGACTGGGCACAAATATGGATCTCATCCAGTCAGTTGACCAGGTAAGTTGCAAAGTTCGTAACAGACGAATGATGCTAATGATGAGAGAGCACTGGCCATGTGCTAGGTAGCTGACCTATTATTTATAATTCTGACAACAGCCCTTCAGGGCAGATCATAGAATGCTCATCATAGAGGAGAGGGCTTGTTCAGTTTCACCTTTGACACTGAAGTGTATGGCCCTTTCACATCCCAGGTGAAGTCTTCTGGAACATCAGAGCCCTTGTACTCCCTATCCCTTTGGAGATCAGGTGAGAGAACTTCATTATCCACAAGGGCAGGAGAGAAAGGTGCAAGGAAAACAGTCAGCCACAGGGCAGCAGGCACAGCCAATACAGGTTTGGGCTGTCAATCATCCTTGTTTCCCCCCAGCACCCTATGTGAGGTCAGTCCTGCTGTCTGTCCTATGCAGAGTTCTGCTCAGGAATTGTAATAGTGTTTCAAGTAAAGGGTGTCCCTATGCAAACCCACACCAAGCAAGCATCAGTCACATGGTGCTTTCTGTTGGCAGGTCCAAGCCTAGACTCCACCCCTTCCAAACAGCACAGCTATCCACAGCAATAGCTTTTCCCTCCCTCTGTCTGTCTCACTCACAGCTTTAAGCACAGAGAGCTTTAAATGGAGAAAAGAGAAAAGCAAAGCAAGGCTTTCAAATTGTCAGCACTCAAGAAGAAAAAGAGAAATGGGAAGAGGAGAAACAAACTTCTTGGAACAATACAAACAGGTCAAAAGGTGGTAGAGGGCAGGTTGCAGAGGAACTGGGGAGTGGGAAGAAGGTGGGGAGGATGCAGTGTCCTACCTGTGATATTGACCTCCACCTGGCCCGAGCGTGTCCCGATGGGGTTGGTGGCCTCGCAGATATAGGTCCCTGCCAGGCTGTAGTTGATGGGCCCTCTGAAGAAGAGGGTTCTGTTCTGGGCCTCCACACCCTTGGGGAGAGAGCCATTCAGCCTGCAAGGATTTGAGGGACATAACACAGGTTTATCACTTCTGCCTTTCTTCCTGGGCCTGGCTCCCAAAATCAGGGCACCTCCCTGCCACAGGGGGATTCCCGATCATCTCCAGACCGAGGAAGCCTGCCCTGTGGCACCCACTTAGCGCCAAGCCCACCTGGCCTTGTGGACATAATAGACTTGTTGGAAGGAGTAAAAGCAATAACAAACACAAAAATAATCTTGCATTTGGTGGTTTTACAGTGTTTTCCTGTTTGATCCTCATAATATTAACATGTAAGCAGGACAGGTAGGGGCTGGTTTGACTTAACAGATGAGAAAGCGGAGATTTAAGGCCAAAGAAACACAGCTGGAAAGTGTCATAGTTAGAGCTTTAGCTAGATTACCGAGCCCAGCCTGACTCAGTGCTCTTTCTACAACTCCTGGTTCCTGGTGTTGGCCTTTGGACTGGTAAGACTCTCCTGGGTAGCCCGTTACAAATACAGATGTCTCTGTCTCAAGAGCAGATCGACTGGACCAGAATGTTTAAGACACTCCTGGAAATAATTATTTTAACAAGCCACTTGGGTGGCTGAGACGTATTTTGTAGCATCCCATGCCACTATCTGTGATTCTTGCCAGGGCTATTCTTCACATGAGGAGTGTCCTGGGAATTCCCTGAGGACTAGGGATGCTCTTCTCTCCTCCTGACCCTCAGTATAAAAAAGCTGGACCTGGTAGCCCCTCAGTCCCCAGTGTTGACACTGGCAAGTGGGCTCTGCCCATTGCACTCTTGCAAATAGATTGTAGGGTGGGCTGGGGACCACAACTTTCTGGAAAAAGTGTAGTCTTGTTCTAGGCTGCCAACTTCTGACCACCACTGAATTTTCTTCTTGGCTTGTGCCATACTCCTGTCCCCTGGGTGTTCTACTTAGCTCTTCTCTGAGAATAACTGTGGCTGAGCTCATTGGAGCTGGCTGGACCTCTGAGGGCCAGGTCCAGAGACGTGACGTCCAGGGGAGGCAGAGAGAAGGGGAGAAAGCACTCTATGAGTGCCAATATCTAGGCTGATGGCTTCCCTCTCCCCGAGAATCTGGGGGTGCTGAAGGGAAGGAATAGGAACAAAGAGAGATCTGGGATGCTCCAGAAAGCCAGTCTCCCTGGGGACACCTCGGTAAAAATAAATACTGGGGGCTGAGGTAGGAGTGACTCAGCCTGAATCACCAAAGGGAAATGATAAAATTCTTCATTAAGGAGAGGAAGAGTGGCAGATCAATGGAGCCCCCCGGCACCCACTGACCCTGACGTGTCAGACACAGAGGTGTGGGTGGAGGGCCTCACATCTTTTCCTCTCTCCTCACTGCAGTGCCTTCCCATGACCTGTGTGGTACTCACGTGGTCCAGTGGTACTCAGTGGCTGGAGGGTTGGCATCCACTCTGCATGTGAGCTTCACGTCTGTCCGCTGGAGGTACCAGTTCCCATCAAACCCCTCAATCGTCACCTCAGGCTCGTCTGTGGGGCAAGGGATGATAACATTTGAAGACTGTGAGGTCAGGAGAGCAGGACTTAGAGAAAGGGACACTTAGGCAGAAGGGAGGGAAGGAAGCAGGAACATGGAAATAATCAGGAAGAAAGGGAAGAGTGCAGAGAGGCAGCAGAAGCTCAAAGGAGAAGCCAGAATGAGAAAAGAGAAGAGAAGACGAGAACAGGGAGGGAGGACAGAGAGGCAGATGGGAAAAAGGAGGAGAGGAGGAGGGAAGGGATGACCCGTGCGAGTGGGTAGTGGGAGAGACACCTGGGACAAGGTGCTTCCCAACACCTCCTCCCCAGCTGGCTCCTTGACCACTCACACTGTACGTTGAGCGTGAGGCTGTCTCTGAAGCGCTCCGTGTGGTAGTTGACAATACAGGCCAGCGACTGCTGGTGAGCTTCCCGGCTGGGTACGAGGCGGTAGCGGCTGATGACAGTCACTGTGCCATTGGGGTTCCGGATCTCCTGGTACTCGGCCTCGCCCTTTAGCCGCGTTTCCCAGGTTACCAAGCTGGGAGGCTTCCCGTTGGCTGAGGTGCAGGTGGCCACCAGAACCTTGTGGTCCTGTCCCTTCTTGGCGCGGAGCACTGCCTGGGTGCCCTCGATCCAGTTGGTGGGTTTGGCTATGGAGAACCAGAGAGAGCCTTGGGGCCAGCCCTACTGACTCACTGGAGAGGTACAGGCCATCCTATCTATTGAACTCCTTCTCTTAGCTGTGTGTCACCGAAACCTCTTCCCAGAAATTCTTCCCAGACATAAAGGGCCTAGGCTGTCCTTCCCACTCTGCAACTGCACTCCCTTTTTTTCCCCAACAGGTTTTCTTTGAGTCTTGGCATGCTCACACCATTATTTGCTGCAGCTCCTCTCCTTACTTGGTGTCTGATGCCTCTATCTGCTGCCAGGCCATGTATAAAATGTCTCATGCATGATAGTGCTCCAACCTAAATACTGATCCTCAGCTTTGTCCAGAGCCAAGGTCCAGCCCCACATCCCTAGAGAACGGTGGCTAGAAGGGGCTGGGAATGTAATTTCCAGAGCTGTGGAACCTTGCCCACCTAAGGTGAATGAATGTCTGGGGCTAACAGGGAACATTCTGAGATGGCCAAGCCCCCATGTTGCTAGAGAAGGGAGTGGACCCTCCTGTGGTTCACTGGTGCATGGCCCACCCTGAACAAGCAGGTCGGGAGGGATCCAGGACGGCTTACCCATGACAGTGAGATTGAGCTGGCTCTCACGATTGCCCTTTGGGAAGGTGGCAAACTCGCAGATGTAGACGCCCTCATCCTCCAGCTCTAGGCGGGAGAGGCGGATAGTGCCATCGGTGAAGGAGGGCTGGAGGAACTCCACGCGCTTCTGGTAGGGAGGCAGCACAGAGATCCCCAGGACTGGATTGTAAATGGCCACGTTTTGCTTGGAGCCATTGGTGAACTTCTGCCACGTGACCTGGGTGATCTTCACGTTGGGGAGAGGGTTGGCAAAGCTGCAGTGCAGGACCACATCGGTGCCGATGAAGCCGTACATGGAGTCGTTCACCTGGACCACCTGGGCGGACGCACCTGGATGGAGAGACAGGCAGGGATGGTCAGCACGAGCCTGACCTCCATCTCTCAACACTCCGTCCTCTTGCCTTTTTTCTCTTATAGCAGTCACTGCTTTCCTTCTGCTTATAAAAATGATAACTGCTTATTGTAAAAACTATAGACGCTCTGAGCAATGTTGAGAAGTATCAAGAAGAAATATCAACCCATGATCCCACCCTTCAGTAGCAGCACTGATAATCTTGTAGGCTTGTAGCCTTTACTCCCCACCCCCCGCATCTATATAACCATTCCACCACTCTCAAAGTTGCTGGTCTGTTGCTTTGAAGCTGGACGCTATGCCAGTGGCAGATCAAATACCAGCAGCGTCGCCCTCTGTAGTGGACAGGTTTCAGTGCACTGAGACACACTTAGAAGATCTAGAAATCAGCTTTTGAAAACTCAACTGTTGAAAACTCTTGATGACCACAGAACACAGAACACAGATATGGAACAAGCCCCTGGACTGGAAGACTCTCACAGTGGGTGCAGCAATAAGCATTAAGATGGGGTGGGAAGGGACAGCACTGTGCTCTATTTGTACATAAAGCTGCCATGACTTGAAGCTGACTCAGGGGCAGTTAACAACAAAAACCATATAACCATCTAGTATTTTGTTTCTTAGTACAATCAGAACCATACCGATAGGTTTACGGACTGCAGGTATGCTGCTTCTTTATTTGGTACTACTAGGTTATAGTAGGGAGCTCTGGTGACCCAGTGATAAGAAGCTGTGCTGCCAGCACAAAGGTAAACAGTTCAAATCCACTAGCTGCTCCAAGGGAGAAAGATGGGCAATCTCTTCCTGTGTGATTTACTGCCTCTGAAAATCTGCTGGAGGGTCAGCTATGAGCCTGCCTATGATTTGACAGTACCCACAAACACCACTATTCTAGAAATAAATGCCTTTCCATCTCAACAAATATGTAATCCACAGCTTTCATTTTTAATGAGGGTAGAACATACTGCTTTCAGTTACAGCTCAGTCAAGGGGCTGGGGCCTGCTTTGCCTCTTTTGGCCTCAGTCCCCTCATCTGATAAATGGGGCGGATAATCAGCCCTCCCTGCTCACAGGGTTGCTAGGGAAACCAAGCGGCATAATGAATGAGAAAGTACGTCAGAAGGCTAAGTGAACGTGCGGTGAACAATGACAGATACCATTGCCCTCACTTCTTCTCCTCGTGGTCCCAGACAGAGAGAAGGGGGCTCTACAAGGCTCTGCCTTCGCTGACTGCCGTCCACCTTCACAATCATGTCTAAATGCCTTAACTTGGCCTTTGATGTTTTCACTCATTAGAGCCCTGCCTTTTCATCCACGTCTCTCCTCATGCCACTTTCCAACCATATCATCAGCCTCTTCTGGGAACATGTCATGTTCTGTTTCCTTCCCCAGCCCTCTTCCCAATTACTCAACCATTGTTTTCTGAATGGCTTCTTCTCCACTAGGCACTTGGGCCATATCAGTGAGCAATTGCATCCCAGTCCTTCCCCAAGGCACACAGTCTACTGGGCAGTACTTCTGGGTTCCCACATGTTCCCTGAGCCCAGAAAGCTCCTGCTCCGCCTGTGGACATGCCCCAGCCACACCTCTGTTATGGCTCCCTCCCTCCTTGAATTTGGTTATTTGCAAGTCTGGTTATGGCCCCACCTCTGTGGCAGTGTGCACATCTTTTTCACCTCTATCCCGTGTCCAGCATCACATCTGGCGCATAGTAGGTGCTCTGTAAGTATTCACTGCCAGACAAGAGCAGTGAAAAAGCCAAGACGGTATTTGCAAGATAAGAGTTAAGTGATCAATGGTACTGAATGAATAAACTCCACCAGGTCTCCCCGTGACTGCCCAATCCCGATTAGAATGTCTTCTGCTGAGCTTCTTGAGCATTTTTGAACTTGACTCAGCTCCCAATCAGGAGGCTGCATGCAGCACAGCCCCAGCTCACCCCAGAGGCCTGTGAGCTCCCCTTAAGCTGTGTCCTTGGTTATGCATTTGCACACTTTGAGTCCTGGATACTTTACTCAGTTTATGGAGTGCCATCAATAATATCAATAATGCCAGGCCCTATACTGACCCAGAGGCGGGGGCACAGCCTAAATGGTCTCCCCATTAGGGAAACTGGGATTCAAGAGTAGGATGGGCTGGGGATCAAGGCTGCTTGCTCAGAGGACTCCAAAGCCTGGGGTCATAAGCTTTGTCTTGCCCTGGTCATGGTCTTAGCTTCTGTGCCCAAGATGCAGTAGGAACTCAATACTTGATGCATAAATAGATCTTGAGCCCTGCCAAAGCAGTCCCTGGTCATCCTTTAAAAGATTCCTAGCTGCCTGACAACCCCCTTCTCCAGACTCTTCACACTCACACAGTCTTCAAGCTGGTCCCTCCTGAGAGGGATAGTGTGCACTGCTGAGCTGGATCAACTACGGTGGAAGAAGCTGCCGGGAGCCAGGAGAGCTGGGATCTAGCCTGATTCCGCCTTTAGCTTGCCTGACCCTGAACATGAGACCCTGGCCAGTCATTTCCTTTCCCAAGCTCCACTCTCCTCATCTGTCCAATGATGTTCCACTCTCAGTGGGCCCGCTGGCCTAACTGTCCAAGCCCCACCCTCACACTGCTCCCCAGTGAAGTCAGTGGGCCAGGCAGCCCAGCATTCTTGCTGACTGGCTGGTGGCAAGCAGCGAGCGACACTTAGGTGCTCCATGGCAGGCTAAGTGGGTGCTCTCCACCCTTCCCCCCAGACTGCTAGAGGCTGTTCGGGCTGAGATAATGTGGGCATAATTGGGGAACTTTCGACACACAAAGCCAGGAACAGGAAAAGCCAGTTAGGAGGGCTGGGGCCACAGGTGAGAGTGGGGTGGAGGAAGGGTGTAGGTTCCCAGGAGCCATTTGGGATTGGTGCCAGGGTGGGGTGGGCCTGCTGTGGGACCCTCTAGAACCCTGCCTCCTTTCCTCGTCCCCTCACAGGTGTGGGGACAGCCTGGTCCAGGCCCTGGCTCACAGACTGATAGTCATTCACTGTCTTCATAATGACCTCACCCCCAGAGCACTGGTGCCAGGAGGGGAGATTGCTGATAGCACTGGGGGTGGGGCGTCAGGGTGCTTTTCCAGGATTTGAGGATTGAAGCACACCAAAGGCCCCTCCTATCTTTCAGTCCCCAGAAGAGGGTAGACCCTCCCCACATGAGCGTGTCCTCCCAGAAGTGCCCCCTGCCCTGTCAGAAAGTGGAAGTGGCTGGTGCTCTGGGCCTCTGCCCTTTGTGTCCAGTGATGGGCAGGCCAGGCGGGCTTGTTAGGACTCAATCCTGCTCTTTCCATCTGCCCACTTCTATTAGCAGCGCCAGGGGAGATAGTGGTGAGCATTAGGAGATCTTGGGGTCCTTGAGGGTACGATTCCCAGAGTTCTGGAACTTGGGATGGTCTGGGAACACTGTTGAGGTCTGAAGACCCAGTCCATCCCCTTTGAGGGTGTAGGAACCTGGAACCCAGGCTTCTGGCCTGGTCTAGATGCAGAGTGGGGGGTGTGGTCCTAGTGCTATGGAGGGGAAATTAAGAGGGAACCCAGGACCAAGCTTCACCCACATATGAGGAGTGTGCACCACCTCTTGTAGGCTTTCATTTGCAGGCTTGGGAAGAGCTGGGATTCGGGGAGGTCTGCTCCTGGGGAGGTCTTTCGGACATCTAACTCCCCTGCAGAGCCCCTGCAATCAATCACTTCTGCCCTGATAACCCCCAAATTGACACTGTGCCTCCCCCACAGTGCCTGAGCGCCTCTCATCCGCTAAGGGCTGCTCCATCTCCACCTTCTTCAGGCACAGCGGGGTTGCTAAGAGCCAGACATCATGGCTTTGCATTCCTCTTCTGCCCTTCATAGCTAATGAGTTAACCTCTCTGTGCCTTGTTTTGCACCGGAGTGAGCTGCACTGCTAATCAAAGGTGGTGCGCCTCCAGCAGTTCAAATCCAGCAGTGGATGTGTAGGGAAAAAGCTGGGCAATCTTGTCAGCCTCACAAACCCATTGGAGGGACAGCTATAAGTTAGAATTGATTATTGTTGTGTACCACTGAGTCAGATCCAATCCATACAGCTGACCCTCTCTCTGGTGGGTTTTTAAAGGCAGTAAATCGCACGGGAGGAGACTGACTGCCCATCCTTTTCCCGCGGAGCTGCTGGTGGATTTGAACCACATGCCTTTGGAATTGCAGCACAGCTTCTTGCCACTAGGCCACGAGAGCTCCCTAGAATTAGACAAAAGCATTTCTTTTTTAAGGTTGGGGCACTAATATCTCTTGAGGACTAACTGAATGAACACACATGCAACTTAGAGAAGTGCATTTAACACAGGTTTAATGTTCAGTAAATATCAGTTTCCACCACCACCACCACCACCACCATCATCATCATCATCATCATCATCATCATCTTTTATCTAAGAAATAATGGGCTGTCTTTCCTGGAACTTCATTCAACAAGTATTTCTTGAACAATCTACTATGACTAGGGATCCTATGGGTGGTACAAATGGCACGGTGTTCAGTAGCTAAGATTTCAACTTATGGCTCTCTGGAAGAAAGGGCTGCTGATCTGCTTCTAAAACCTTACAGTCAGACACATGTTGGGGACACCATGAATTGGAGCTGACTTGAAAGCAACTAATTTTACTGGGTTTTGTTACATGTTGGCCTACTGTTAAGCAGCTACGCTGCAATCCCAAAGGCACATGGTTCAAATCCACCAGCTGCTGTGTGGGAGGATGGGCAATCTCCTCCCAGGTGATTTACTATCTCTGAAACCCCAATGGAGGGTCAGTTATGGGTTGGTTCCGACTTAACGGAATACAACAACAACAACAGGAGGAGGAAGTATGTTCCCCTCTTCCAAGAAGCCCTTCCTGACACTCATTCCTTCCTGCTTAGCTTATGCTTCTGTTACCCCAGCCCCAACAGCATGCAACGTTAACCTGTACCCGTCTGTTTCCCAACACGTGAGCCTAGTCTGTTTCTGGCTGCAAACTCCTTCCTGTACTGAGCAGAGTGCAAGCCCATGTGGGTGCAGGATGGAGCAGGCTTGGCCTTGTTGTGGGTTGACCTTGTCACGTGTGATGCTTGAAGGATTCGAGGCCCCGACTGCTGATTTCCCAAGAACCTAAGACTGGTCCACAGAAGGCACAGTGTCTCTCCTCACTTCAGGCTCCTGAAGAAAAACTTGTTCCAGACGCAAGAACCAGGACCACTAAAATGGGGGCACATCAGAGCCCATATGTGCCATCATTTTACAGAAACTGCCAGAGTCCAAGGGGTTGGGTCACTTGTCCAGTGTCACAGAAATGCAGGACTCAGCCCAGTGTTCTTCCCCTCTGCCTCATAACCGAGGTGGGATCTCTGCCTAACTCCTCTGGGCCTGCTGGGTAGTTTCTTCTCAGGGTCCCCCTGTCCCCTTTGAGAAACAGCTTAAGTATCAGTTATAGCACCATGATCTTCACCCCCACGGCCCATCCAGCACTGGGCTTGGCATGTGCCTGGGTCAAAGGGCTAGAGGCCAGGCTGGACTCCAGCTGAGCCCAGTGACTACTGTCACCCTATCTGTATGTTTCTGGGGAAGAGTGGTGGGGTGGTGCATCCGAAACAGGGACCTGTAAAAACTCTGATTTCGAGAGTCTGCACATTCAGGAGGCTGCTCCATGTGAGCAGAAGGGGCCAAGATGGTGAGAAGCGAAGGATGGGAGGCACCCATGGGTGCATGTGCCCTGGACAGGGGATCTTGCACCGTAGAGGTATGAGGTGCTGCCTACATTCTCCCTGACCACCTTCTGAGACCTAGGATTCAGGATTTAAGGCCCTGGACCCTGGCTTATGTGCCTCAGTTTCCCCATGAGATCTCAGGCTGGGTGGCTCAGGCTGCCTGGGTTCCAGAAGTGCTGAGCCAGCAAGGCAGGCGGCAGGCCGGCCCCCGAGACGTCATGGGCCTGCAAAAGCCCCAGCTCAGCAACAAAACACAAAGGCTCCTCAGTTGTGGCAGACAAACCTGCTCCCCAAGGCCCTGCCCACCTGCCCTGCCCGCCATCGAGCTAATCCGCCAGCCAGTGCCACAGGTTCCCACGCAGTGGGGTGTGGCAGAGAGTGGGGGCACTCTGCTCCCCTCACACCCACCCTGAGCTTGTTCTTTCTGCCCCTCTAAATCTCAGACCCCTCTCCCCTGCAAAGCAGGCTGGGACTGGGCATACGTAGGCAGGTGAGAAGGCGTGCCCAGGTGAGATGAAGACCGCTGGATTCCTGCACCAGATTCTGACCTCATACATTGCTCCGTCCTCCCCGAGCTCCAGGGTGGTCTGCAAGCATGGCGTGGGTCACCTTTTCCTGCATCTAGGCTGTACTGTCCCTCCCTTCCCTTCCCTGACCCCCTGTCTGTTGCCCTCAGGTAGGAGTAAGAGCAGCAGGGCTGTCCTGGGACAATTCAGGGGGGTGCATGTATTTGTGTTAAGGGTGTGTATGTATTTGGTGGGGACTATGGTACCCAACAAAGGTCTCTCTGAAGTCAATATCCTTGAGGACCCACCTCTAGGGCATTCCAGGATGTGACCCCAACCCCTCCAGGAACTGGCAGGAAAAACATTAAGACGTCCGGTGAGAAACTGGCTAAGCGGTAAGTGGCAATGACTCACCCACTGGGGGGCCTCTAGCCGAAACCCTGCTGACTCAGTACAGTGACCTAAAAGTTTGAGGTCCTCCTCCTGCACAGCTGCTTCTCCAGTGTCAGCCCCCTGGCTGGCTGGCTCGCCACTCTCTGCTGCCAAGCCTGGCTCTACCTGGAAGAGGGTGAGATTAGGAGGAATCTTCTCACCAGGGTCCCTCCTGTGGGAAGGCTTTTGCCAACTGGTGTCACCTGGACCTATCACCTGCCAGCCAGAACCCACACTTCACTAAAGTCCTTTGAACTTGTCCTGTCTCGTATCTATGCCCGAGGCATATCTCCCTATTAGTCCAGCAGCTCCCCAAGTGCCAAAGCTGTACCTCCTGTTTCCAGACAACTCTTGACACACAGGATGGGGTCTAAGGGGACTAAAGCTAGAGGGCCTGGTGAGATGAGAGGCATCCTTGGTCCAGGTCTGCCCCAGCACCTCCAGCTCCCCCAACACTGGGGCTAGGGACCAACTAAATGGTCCAAGGGCCAAGTTGCAGTGGGATCAGTGCCTGCTGGGACAGTGCCAGGTGTCCTGGAGCCTTGGGCCCCCTCCACATCTTCCCTGCCAGAAGAAGTGATAACATCCCATGATCCCACAGACAGGGGCTAATTGCTACTGTCCGAGCCCAGACGCCTCCGCCTCTCATTTGGGGTCACAGAAACTGCCCATATTTTTTTCCTCTTGGCTGATGCCCCCCCAGCTTCCCAGATGGAGCTGGTTAATGATGGGCTGTGGGGCTGGCGCCCGACGCCTTGGGCGGGTGAACAGAGTGCGTGGGAGAGGAGGGGGCGCAGCAGCCTGGGAAAAGCCCGAAGGAGGAGCCCAGAGCCTGAGCTTCCAGACAGGCTGGTCCCCTGCTCTCCCAGTGGAGCAGTGTGGAAGCCCCAGGAGGAGGGGGTACGGCAGGGGGATGCTCTGGCAAGTCTACCTCTCCCCAAAACCCGGAAGGGCAGGTTGGGGGACAGGGATGAATCAGGCACTGGAGGACAAGTTGTAGAGGACCCTCCAGCCTTAGGTCATGCTGGCTACCCAAAGTCCAAGGCCAAGACTGCTCCCAGGTAGACTGTCTTCTCTCTTCCCTACTGGCCCTTTACCCAACACTTTACACTGGTCAGACAGAGGATGGATAGGGTATCGACTAGAAGGTGGGAGAGGCAGGTTCTGACCCCCGTGCTTGGTCATATTTTCTGTATGGCCTGGTCAGGGCAGGTCCTCTCTCTGGCCCCAGTGTACTCTCCTGGAAAGTGAGAGTGCTGGGCTGACCCCAGAGGGTGGCAAGCAGGGAAAGTCCTGATCAGGTTTCTTGCAGGCCCACCTTTACATCTTTCCAGAGTCAACCTTTGGGAGATTCTCAGCCAAACAGACACTCCATTGGGTATATTCTTCCTGGATTAAGTAGAGTGTAGAGTCCCTGGGTGGTGCTGAAAAGTTGCAGGTTCAAGTCTAGACAGAGGTTCCTCGGAAGAAAGAGTTGATCGTCTTCTGAAAAGTCAATCACTGAACACCATATGAAGCACGATTCTGCTTCATGAGGCAATTCCAGGAGCCCAAATCAAGTGTAATTGGGGGCTGGGGTGTGCTTGTGTGTAGCTTGCTGTGATCCTCCGCCTTCTAGGAAAATCCAGTCTTCACACGTCAAAGCTGGGCACACATGGGCTTTCTACAGCCAAGTAATTACCAAGTCCAGCTGACTCTAACTCTGAATCCATCTTTTTTCCCCGTCCACCCCAGGGGACTCAGTATAAACTCCTTCCAAGCCCTCATCTCCAGCAGGGTCCACTTCCTTATTTCCTCAGCACACCTGGGCCTTGGCACAGTTACGTCAGCTCAGCACCTTGCCTTTGAACTTCAGCACCCTCCACACCGTCCTCTCCCCTGCTCTGCCCAAATCTTAGCTTTGCTCAGACTGCCATCCTCTCTCACCTTCCTTCCTCTGCTATCCTGCTAGTTTCCCTGGACCCAGGCTCCCTGTGCACCCCACTCTCCCCACTCAGTGCTCTGATTGGAAACCACTCCCTACTTAAAACCTTCCATGGCTTCCTGTAGTCCTTAGGATCGAGCCAAAGGCCTTTAGGTGCACTGGGCCCCACTGCAGGCACCCTCAGCCTCCAGTGCCTCCTGTCACAACAAGCCTGCGATCAATTCCCTTTACTATTATTTCCACAACTCAAAATGCACACTCTGTGTAGCTGCCCAGGTCCTCTCAGCATTCTGGGCCACCTTAGCCTTAATCTTTTTTTTTTATTATGGTGAAAACATACATTACAAAATACTTGCTATTTTAACATTTTAACGTGTACAATTCAGTGACATTGATTGTATTCATCATGTTGTACCATCATCACCACTCTCCTCCTCTGAAACTTCTCACCCTTCACAAAAACTCAGTGGGCCCTAAGCAACGACCCCCTCTTATTCACGCACTCCTGCTCCTGAGCTACTGGACTGCCAAAAGGACAAAAAGATAAGGCTTTGGAGAAAGTTCAGAGTGCTCCTTAGAGGCAAGGAGAGGCTGTTCTTTGGAAAGAGAAAGACATCATGCTTGGAAAGTTGGAGGGTCAGAGAAAGAGAGGAAGCCCCTCGATGAGATAGACTGACACAGCAAGTCCAGTATTAGATGCAAGTGTGTCAGAGCTGATGAAGATGATGAGAGGGCAGAGTTCAGATCTGTTCATAGGGTCACTATGAGTTTTATGTGACTCGACGGCACCTAACTAACACTTGCCTATTTTGGGTCTTTCACTGTGGAATCAGACAACACTTGGTCCCGCAGTGACTGACTTCTTTCACTCAGCCTGATGTCTGCAGTGGCCTTAGCTGCTGTTGAGTTGTCCACTTACTTACAGTGAACCCCCCACAATGGATCAAAATGACACTCAGTCTTGAGCCATCCCTGTGACTGGTTGCTCATCATTCCATTGCAGTCTGTAGGGTTTTTACTGGTTGATTGACTCATGGGAAGTAGATTGCCAGGCTTTTCCTCCTAATTTTAGTCTGGGAGTTCTTCTGAAAGTTGTTCAGTACCACAGCCTCCACTCATAGACAGGTAGGTGCATTCGCTTAGAATCAATCTCAGGTCTCCTGCACGAAGGGTTAGAAATCTACTGTTCAACCTTGCAGTATTTTCAGAAAACTCCTCTTGACTCCTGAATGGAAGGATTTCTGGCAAAGCCTCTGCCAATGGAATACATGTTCTTGCATGCTGCAGCCCCACTATCTGTGCACGCTTTGGCCACAGCATATTCCCGATGGGAAAGCTTCATCCAGGTGGATCCCAGCCTGGTGCCCAGTGCAAGAAGCACAAGCGGGCCCCTAGTGGTTGGTGGAAAATGAACCAGCTGGAGTCACGGGCTAGGGCGACCACTCCTCAGGTCTAGCTGCAGCTTACTGGGAATTTCCCACTAGCCAAGAAACAGTGCTCACACTAGGAAGGCACACAGTGAAGTCGGCAGGAGGGTGCAGGGCAGGGATGCAGGGTGAAGCCGCCCACCTGCGTGGAGGCAAAGCAGGTCTGAACAACCTTTTCTGGATTGAATCAGAGGGTTACCCAGGCCCCAAACAGGTGTATCTCTGCTTGACCTCTAGTGCCTCAGCACCCCACAGCCTCCTATTCTTCCCAGCCTCCCCACTTCTTGACTCCTTCCTCCCTCCGCAGTCCTAGTTTCCAGCCCCCAATTCCTTATTCACCAGAAAGGGAAAATAAGGAAAGCATTTTTGTCACCTTAGCAGGTTGTGGCCCCAAGGTCTGCTCTCAAGAGCTTGGCCTCCCAAACCTGCCCACTCTGCTGCACGCCTTTCTAAGCTGCCTGGCTTCTCCTGCCTTTACCCCTCCCTGGCCCTGAGACTCCTCGGCTCAGTCTTGAACAGGGTATTCTGGCAGGCCCTGCTCTCTGCACACTACACCAGCCCTCTCCACCCTGCTACCTGCCCTGTGAGCTGCTGCAAACACTGTCTCACAGCAGACATTTCAACCTGGAGTTCCCTCATTTTTAGTGACACATTTTGGGGTAGGGTAGGCAGCAGCCTCTTCAGCTGGCTAATGAGGGGGTGGGATCGGCTGGGGGCTGCCAAGAAGGTGGACAATGTTTCCTAACATTTTCCCTAGAGAACTTTTGGAAAGCTCAGTGCTGACATGCGCACTGTGTCATCCCTGTGGGTTCTGCCTTGACACTCAGCACCTGTCTGGAAGTGGAGGTCTCCTGCTCGCTTCATGCTAGGAGGGTTCTGGCAGGCTGCTCCACGGCACCTCCACACACCTCTGGGGCAACTGGGGTGGGGACTGGCAAGGGGATGGAGGGGAGGCAGTTAGGTGGGTCTATGAGGCCTGACTTCTGGAAAGGCTCATTCTAAGAGGAAAAGGGTGAGAAGAGCTCTAGAAATT